CCACAATAGTGGCTATAATGACACCGACATAGCGGTTATAACAGCACCACAATAGTGGCCATACACAATATACAGCTCAGCAATATACAGCACAACCAAACAGCTCACAGCACAGCACAGCAAATCAGCATACAACACAGCTAAGTAGTATTCAACACAGCTTACTACTCACAACTTAGCTCAGCACGGCAATATACATCTATTTCAGCATAGTTCAGCATATCAAGTCAATATCATCAGACGCGCCTGGAGAACTCATGGTCGCGCCTAGCGCGGCTCAACCAGAAAGCACCAGGGACCAGCGCGCCTGGCGCAAGATTGCTCGCGCCCGGCATGACCCAGCCAGAGAGTCCAAGACTCTCACGCGCCTAGCGCAATTCAGATTGCGCCCAGCGCATGCTCAGGCAGAGACTCCATGGAGTCTCACGCGCCTAGCGTTCCTAGTGTGAGACCCTCAGTCTTTCCCCTCTCTCCCTCTCAACATTTCACTAGTAGCCTTCCTTCTTCCTCTCATTCTTTCTCTCCCACTCACTTGGACTTGTTCATTCTTTTATCTTGGTAGCCGTAGGAGCTGTGTAAAGGTGCGGGAATGAAGCTGAAGCGCGGACTCTTCCTCCTCCGTTCATCATTTTCTCCATTCGTTTTCTCCTTTCTCCTTCCCGGAAGCTTGGAACTTCTCCTCTGAGGTAAGGGAAGCTAGATTCTCGCTATTTTTGGCTGTAACTGAGTCTAGAAACTCATTTGTTGTTGGATAATTGACAGTTTAGGGGTTTGAAAGTAATCAAAGGTGTGTTCTCTCAATTTGATATTGTCTCCATATATATAAAATTTAAAAAAAAAAAAAAAAAAAACTATGATTTGAATTCCTTACCATATTTGCCAAGGGACCCAAGTTTATCACCACTTGAATCAACCACAACTTGTTGGTTGACAAGGGTTTATAAATGATTTTTAATTATTAATTCAATTAAAATAAAACAATCTTCTACAAATGAAAGGGTAATAAAGCTTTTTAATTATAATAATATAACATTAAATATGTTAAAAATAACAAAGAAATTGATAGTTGTACCTTCCCGGTAAAATGCCGACTGGACCCTCCCCGACTCGTCTAATATCCGACTGGTTTCCCAGGCCACAAGCCCTCTCGCCTTATCGGCTCAGGGCTGGAAGGCAAGTGTACCTTCCCGGTAAAATGCCGACTGGACCCTCCCCGACTCGTCTAATATCCGACTGGTTTCCCAGGCCACAAGCCCTCTCGCCTTATCGGCTCAGGGCTGGAAGGCAAGTGTACCTTCCCGGTAAAATGCCGACTGGACCCTCCCCCACTCGTCTAATATCCGACTGGATCGTCACAGCGTACATCAACCCGACTTTGGCTCAATTACACGCACCAGTGAGGGGCACTCGTCTTTCTCCCGACAGGTCCCTTAGTACGGGCCTTGCCGGTAAAATCCCGACTTGACTAACCGCCACTTACCCCACGGCCTCGAGATAAGAACGGTTAAGGAGAATCCCGATAATCTCGAGGCCCACGACGCCCATGAACAGAAAAGTATAAAACCTAAAACCCTCGAGCTAAGACGCCAGATTACACTTTTGAATGCTCTGGCTTTGAGGCTAGACCTAGGCAGAAACCCTAGTCCATCCCTTGGCCGGAACAATAGCCTATAAAATGACAATAGTAAAAAAATTTATTTTTTTATCATTTAAATAGTACATAAGAGATCACAATCTCATAATTATTGTGCAAAAAGTTAATGATATATTGATGATCCTTAGAATAAATATTACTGTTCATTTAGCAGTTAGTTGAAAGTTTAAAACTTAATAATGTTTAGTTTGACTTAAAACGTTATTGATAAAATTGAGAATTAGTAGATACACTACTAGAAAAGTATCATTTTCTTACGAATTTTCCTGCAAAAAAAATTCGTAAAATTTTTTTGCGAATTTTCCTGCAAAAAAAATTTACAAATTTTTTTTTGCAAATTTTTCTGCAAAAAAATATTCACATAAATTTTTTGCAAATTTATTTGCGAAAAATAATTTACAGATATTTCTTACAAATT